GAATCTTCAAAACTCACTTGAGTATTTTGAGCTAGTATTACCCATCAAAAGGCCACACATCATCAATTTTACATGTGCCAAGACAATTACCAATGACATCTTCACTCAAATTAGAAATGGTGGATGTAAAGTGGAAGAAAAGAAATGAGAAAGAACTAGACAAGTAAGCACAAGACACATCCAAGCTTGTTCCTGATTATTTTTGTGAGGGAAAAAAATATTCCATGTCTTGTTCGAGGTGAGCTCTGCTCCCTGGACTCCCTATGACTGTGGTAACCACAATAAAGCAGCTCCATCAAGGGACTAGGAAGAAACCAATCTCGGAGTAGGTGTGTGTTGCTGCCTCTGTCTCAGGAAAGCACCAAAGGCATTTATTTCTGTTTATCAGGTACCCTAAAAGCATGCATGTGTGGCTTCCCTAGACCATGGCACAGAAGAGCTGCATAGCAGTGGTTGCCCCCTGACAAACCTTCTGACTACAAAAATGACAGCTCTCTCCTCACCTGCCACTTCTTATAAAAGTGATTTTCTCTGGATTAGAATTGAACCATTAGAATCTGTTAAGGTAAAAGGCATTAAGAGCCAAAAGCCTGCAAGACAATGACCCACCCTACTCGTCACGCTTTATCTCAATACCTTCTGACTTAGAGAGTGGAGTTGTCCGCTGAGTTTCCACAAATGGTCACTAGGGCTTAAAATGCAAGCATAGAGGGTTACAGCCCCTCTACTTGGCTAATTTGAATGCTGATTCTAAAACCCTTGGGGTCACCAATAAGTGGAAAGTTGAAAGTCTAGGGACACAACTGTGCTGTTCAGAGAGGTGGGTCTAACTCAGGCCAGCCTCAAAGGGTTAGGTTGATGACATTTATTGTCGGAGTCCCCTCCTTTTCCACTATACCAGACACTCAACAATGCCACTTTCCACCCCCAAAATGCCTTCCAATTGCACAGATGCCTTCAGTAGAGGTCCTGGAAACATGTCGGTCTGTACCCAGGCAGCTGTGAGGTGGATCTCTAGCTGCTAAGCCACCAGGAGCTGTGGAGCTTCAGAACACTGCAATTAAAAGCACTGAGTCCATTTTAAAAAGTGCTTTTGTTTGACTCCCCCCTTGGTTCTCCCCCTGCGGCCTCTTCCCCACAGCCATAGGTGGAGAATGGAGTGGTTACTCAAAGATACCCAGTCAGAGGGCCCAGGTTAGAATCCCAGGTCTGTCACCTCCTTCATGTGTGTCCTCAGGCAAGTGATGGAGTTAACTCCAGGCCCCAGCATTCCCTCCATGAAGTGAGTAAAGGAACTGTGCCGACCTTGCGGGGTTACGGTGGATGAAATGAGGAAATACACCTTAGACACTTAGAATGGTGCCCGGCACGTTTTAAGTGCTCAGTAGAGGCCGGATGTTGTTAGTCCCTGTGCAGATAGCAAGGTCAAGCATCAGCAGCGCCTAGGCGCCACGTCCTCAGGCCAGCACGGAGCGCGTGCTTTTCCTGGAGCAGGGTCACAGGAAACTTCCATCTGCATACCCACACGCCTGCCCTGCCACAGAGGCCTGAGATACTTGAACGTGAAGAGAAACCTTCCCACCCAAGAAATGCTGGGCAGCCATTGAACCTCCCTAGATTGGGAAAGCCAGTGGAGATACCACAGTGTTCAGTAGGACGATGGCCAGACTCAAAAAAGTGCCAGCTCACCCCTGAACAAGCAAGGACCCTCTCCCTTTCCTGCTGACAAAGCCCAACTCTTTTCTTTTTCCTAAGCAAATCCAATTAACAATATAAAGGGAAGCAACACTTCTTTTTGGTGGTTGTCCTTTTTATTCCTGGAAGCCTCCGGACCACTTTGTACAGCCTGGAAAAACATCCAGCAAGTGAAACTGAATTATGATGAGGAAGAGGCTGTGCCTGACAGGTCACCTGCCCTTAGGAACTCTCTGGGACTTTCTGTGGCGGAGACAATGGACAAAAAAAAACACAGATTCCTCCCCCTGCACTGTATACTTCCATAGACTTGGGGTGCTCTGAATATTTACAGACCCCTTTGGGTACATAATAATAATCAGAAAGATTAATATTTGCTCAGAATTTGTTTTGGGCCCAGCACTCTGAGCTGAACACTATAAATTCATCATAATGCTTTATGAATGGGAATGAAAGCAAGAATAGAATGCTAGTACTAAAAAGCCCTTTAGTGACAAGGGACTAGGAATGGGTTTATGTGCTAGGAAGCAGTTTACTCTGCTTAGGGCTAAACACAGCTCCGACTATTCTGATGCATATAAATTGGCTTGTCAGTTTGATGTTTTTTGAAAGTTGTGAGGCAAGAACAGACTTGTAGTGGAGAACAGTAAGGATTAGAATCCAGACCTGGTGGGAAGTTCATTCATTGCTTCATTCACATCATACATACTGAGGAGCTATTATGCACCAAGTGCTGTTCTTAGTCTGGAGAGTCGGCAATGAACAAAAGAATTCTTAAATCTCGTGGAGCTATTTACATTTTATGGGTGTTCACAGAAGTACACCAAAAGATCATAATGTGATGTAAGATAGTGATAAGTGCTAGGGCATAAATAAAAATGTAAGGAAATAATGACAAGGATCTCCTTTTAGATAGGGTAGCCTCTGAGGAGATAACATTTGAACCAGACCTGTATGGTATAACAGGAAGCAAAATACCATGTGGCCATGCAGTAGAAGGAGTACTCGGCAGAGGACACAGCGGGTGCAAAGACCCCGAGGCAGAGTGGCAACTGGCCACTGAGCAGGAATAAAACAAGGAAAGGGGTGTCAAGAGGGAGGGGAAATTATAAAGGGAGGGGATCAGAATATGTGGGACCTTCCAAGTCAATAGCAATTGTTCCAGTCGCTGTTCTCCTACTAGGCTTGGGTTATTATCACATTTTAATCCTCACAAAACCCAACACCACCTCACTGACTAGCACTCTTTCTCTCTCGCTCTTTCCATTAATTGAAGGATATTCCTACAGCAGAGACATCTATTTCTAAATACGATGAGATGTTTATTTGCCAGCTTCATTACTTAAAAATTAGTTTCCTTAACTCTTCATTTTTAAAAAAAACTTTTTAAAGTTGTAGATGGACAAAATACCTTTATTTTATTTATTTTTTATGTGGTGCTGAGGGTCAAACCCAGTGCCTCACATGCTAAGCAAGTGCTTTACCACTAAGCCACAACTCCAGCTCCTACCTGGGCAAGTTCTGATACCAAATGAGTGTTTTCTACACCTATGCTTTCATATACATCCTATAATGGTCTTTCTTCCAGAAAAAAAAAAAGTGGTAAAAATAAGTAGAGATGTTCTAACAAGGAGAAATGAATTTAAAAAATTATAATAGATCAATGCTCCAAGGTCTCTGGATCCTATTTATAAAAGAACTGCCAGTCTTTGCTTGGTTTACAACACTAAGTTCAATTTGTGTGAAAATGTATAGTTATTAAGATAGTGTTACTAAAGAGTTCTGGGTTTCTCCCAGATGAAATTAAGTACAAAACAATTTTGAAGGTATTTGATAATTTAAAAAAAAAATAGAACTAAAAACTGGAAAAGATGCAACAAAACCTCTTATGGTCCCTATTAAGAAATATAGATCAAACTTACATTTCCTTTATCTGTAGTCAGAAGTGAGGTGAATAAGACTATCCCTTCATCATAGCTATAGCTGGGCTGATAAATAGACCATGGTTCAATCAGTTTAAGGTAAGAGTGATCCAACAGAGCCAAGGAGGTTACCTTTGGAGGGCATATCCAGACCTCTTGCTGAATCTTGTCCTGCAGAGAAAGTCGTGGAAGTTTTCTTTTCTAAAAATCTGATGTCAGCCACACAACAACTTTCCAAGATATGGGTGCATGATACTGCTAGATATGGGTGCATGCCTGTAGTCCCAGCTATTTGGGAGACTGATACAGGAGGATTCCTTTTAAGCTACTGCTTTGTGAGTTCAATCATATGGTATCATTCTATTTCCAGCTATTATAATCTAGAGCTAATCTGATTAAAACTCCTTCTTTTTTAATCTTTTTTGGGGGTACTGGGGATTAAACCCCATATCCCCATCCCTTTTTAGTATTTTATTTAGAGATAGGGTCTCACTGAGTTGCTTAGGACCTCACTAAATTGCTGAGGCTGGCTTTGAATTCGTGATCTTGCTGCCTCAGCCTCCCCAGCCACTGGGATTACAGGTGTGTGCCATCATACCTGCCCTGGTACTACTTCTGTTCCTTACCAGCTGTGTTAGTTTTCTTGGGCTGTTATAACAAGTTACCACAGACTGGGTGGATGTCTTGAACAGCAGACTAGAAGTTGGAGATCCAGGTATTAGTAGGTTGGTTCCTTCTGAGGACTATGAGGGAGAAGCTGTTTCATGGGTGTCTCCTGCTTCGGGTGGTGTGCTGGCAATCTTTGGCACTCCTTACCTTGGAGATGCGTCATCCGGATCTCTGTCTTCATGTTCATGTGTCATGCTCCCCTTGTTCATATCTGTCTCTGTGTCCAAATCTCTGCCTTTTATAAGGACACATTGTATTGGGTTGAGGCCCACACTGTTGACCTCATCTTGATCTTCATTTGCAAAGACCCCCATTTCCAAGTAAGATCACAATCCCAGACACTGGGGTTCTATCACCAAGCCAGTTACAAGTATGAACTTCGAAGTCTCAGGCCTAGTTGCTGTGCAACTCTGCAACTCATTACCCATGTGATTGAGAGTTTCTTAAATTCTCTTGATCTTCACTTGCAAACCCAATATTTTGGGGGGAGACACAGTTCAATTCATAACACTGCTGTGAAAGAAGGTTAAATAAAATGCTCTCCCTTTATGGTATCCTTTTCCATAACCTGAAGGGTTTGTCTAAAGACAAGAGGGTCCTTATAGGAAGTCATCTCTTCTTTATGTAATCATTGAGCCTGTGTGTGTGAGGGGGGCGGGGGGGGCTGACTTCCAACCAGTACATGCTATTTAACAACTATCCCTTTGCTAACAGGGCTAACCTAGAGATGAGCTACGCCAAAGGGCTCCAGAAGCTGGCAATCAAGCTGAGTAAAGCATTACAGAACACAAAGAAAAAGTAAGTATGATGGCAGAGGTAAGGCAAAATCATTCTTACAAAGAATACACAGTGTCCCCAGCTTCCTCTCAATGTGGCAGGCCCACGCCGTCAACTACGGCTTCTGGTGTGAGGGCACTTACTCTGTGCTGTACACTGTTAAGTGCTTGGCAGATGCTCTCATTTAGTCCTCACAACAACCTGGGAGCTCTTATTATCATCCATCTTTTCAGAAGAGGACTTGAGGCTTGGAGAATTTAAGAAACTCCCAATCACATGGGTAATGAGTTGCAGAGTTGCATAGCAACTAGGCCTGTGACTCCGAAGCGCATACTTGTAACTGGCTTGGTGATAGTAATGTAGTTAAATCAGGAGATCTTGGGAAAATGTGAATTCTGTGTTATCTCTACCCTTTGGCCTTTGACAAGCAACTCAGCCTCTTTGTGTCTTGATTTCTCCTCTATTAGATGGAGTGTGATGGAGTATATGTGTCCCATTGTGTACGTGTGAATGTGCGTGTGTGTGTGCGTGTGTATGTGTGTGTGTACATCATATGCATATTAATTGCAATAACAAGTGTGAAAAGCTGGCTTGAACCTTGGGTGCAAAAAGTTGTTGGTTCACATTCTTCTCAGAATGAAGCAGATTTCTTCTTTTGGAGGACTGAAGATCCAGGTATTCTGAAAGTGGTCCATTAGTGATAATTGGCTGCAGAGATTCTTGACTAATGCATACAGATGTGACCCCTAAACCATCAGTGCTATTTCAAAAGCTACTTACCATAATGAAAGAGAGAAAATGAACAGAAACAAAGAAGGCTTCTGGAGCCTAAATTCCCATTCCTTAGATATCACCTGACTAGATGTCACCTGTAATTGCAAATGACAGCTTTGAAATAGCTCTAGCTTTTAGCTTTGTTTTTATATTTAGGATAGCATTCTGGTAAACTGCAAAGGAGCCAGTACAGTACAATGGTTGGGTACAGATAGGCTTCTGCCTATACTGCTCTGGTTTAAATTCTAGCTCTACCACTTATCAGACTAGTGGCCCAGGACAATTTATCTTCCTCTCAGTGTCACTTTAAAATAGAAATAATGTCTATCTCTTACAGTCTTAAGGAGTAAATGAGATAATACAGGTATACTGAGCAGAGTACCTGACTAGGAGCAAAAGCTCTGTAAATGTTCATTTTTGTCTCTGATTCTAATTCTTTAATGAGAATAATTCCTCCTCAGGAATAAGAGGTAGAGGAGTGTGTGTCTTATTGTGCTGCAACCCCAGCATCCAGCATAGTACCACCAAAGAGTTAGCATGTCCGGAATGTTCTATTAACCAGCATGAGTATATTTACTAATAGTCATCAATTGAACTTTTGTATACCAAAATCTGTTTTAGGTACTTACTTGCACAGATATCCCAACGTGTTTTTATTTTAAACTATCAGTTGAGTGAGGGTCAGAGGAAAGTGATTCTGCCAAGGTCACACAAGAAACACAGGAGGAAGGGTGCCTCCAGACTCAGCCTCTCTGAGGCCAACCCTCCAGGTCTCTTGCCTTGCTCTCCAGTTGCTCTGAGGGACCACTGGGAGACTCCCCCCACATTGTGCCTGGCATCCTTAAAGAAAATACACACACATACACACACACAACTCTATTGAGGATTAATTTACAGACAGTACTAAGCACCAATCTGAAGCATTTGGTTTGGTCAATTTTGACACATTTGTACCGTGTAACAAACCAAAGCCCAAACAGACATTTTCATCACACTGAAAATTCCCAGGGTCTATTTGTAGCTCCAAACAACCACTCATCTGCTTCCTGTCAATATAGATTTGTTGTGTCTTTTCTGTGCTTTGCGATCACTGGCAGCACACAGTAGGTCCTCTCTTGTGCCTGGTTTTGTTCCTGTCTTTGGAGGTGTAAAAAGATTGGGATATTTTGGTCCAGTTCTCCCATTCTCTGTCTACAGGGTACAAACTCAGGCTTTAGAGAAGAAGACCTCTGCACTGTTCAGATTTTAACCAGGATGCAGATTCCTCCTCTCCCTCCTCATTAGAATCAACATGGGCTCTGTCCCTAGAGGTTACTAATGCAGTAGGGTTCATTCTCCTGACTTTTGAAGGCAGGCAATACACCGGCTTCCAGGAGTTGGATCTCTTCTGTGGCAGAAAATGACATCACACTTTCTAATCTTTCTCCTCTGCTCCTGGGGAGTTGGCAGTGCTCCCTTTTGTGTTCAATTGGAGTATCTCTGAAAGGACCAGGAAAGGTCTGAGATGTTGTACTAAAAGTTGGCAGGGAGCAGAAGCTGGATCCCAACCCCAAGAGCAGCAATCAGAACATGAGCAGGGTGTCAAGTCCTCTGTCACTTAACTTCTCAAAGACTCACAAGTTTATTCATCTGTAAAGCGAGGAAACTGAAAAGATTGTCTTTGAGGGCCTTCTAACCCAGCATCCTATCTCCCATCTGCTCTCTTCCTCAGCTATTTGATTTGCCTGATTTTCTACAGACATAAAATGGAAGATGAAAATCTAAATGAAAAAAAAATTATGGGAGTAAAAAACAGTAAATATAATGACTATAGTGCACATAAGTATATTGGCAGAATTTAATCTCCTGGAGAAATGGAAATATGCTTAGGGAAGAAAATCCACTGACAGTGTAGCACAGTGATGCTTCGTTTCTCAGAGTTCACGGGAAAATCACACTTACTCTTGTTCATCTCCCCTACCCCACCTTGTTTTTGCCTCTAGCTGTCTCAGCAATGCCTGGGCCTGGGCCTCGGAGGGCATGAGATCCACAGCGGACCTGCATCAGTGAGTGTGCCCCCCTCCCACCCTGGCCTTGCTCCAGCCCTAAGGAGAGTCACACATATTCAAAGGGGTTGGGGCACAAATATTCCACTTCAAACTTGCACTGAATTGATGTGCTATAACATGCCATTTTATTTCCCTGGAAAGTAATTGGGAAAGTAGATATAAACCCTAAAAACAATGACTGTATGTCTTTATGTTCTATTTCCAGAAAACTTGGCAAAGCAATTGAGTTGGAAGCAATAAAACCAACTCATCAAGTCCTGAGTATGCAAGAGAAAAAGAGGAAATCGGTGAGTCAAAGCTTTTCTTTTCTTCCCTGTTTAAAGCAAGATTACTGTCTGTGGCCAGTGGAGGAAAAGGTGATCTAAAAGTGATACTCGCTCTTAGGAATTTAACATAAAAATAATCAAAATCACACTTCCAAGATTTATGAGAATGGCTGTTTGTTAGTGCATTATTTATAGTAGTGGAAAAATGACAAATACTTCATCATTCAAAGACAAACTATGAAAATAAAACAAATTATGATAAAGGCAAGTAATAGAATACTATGCAACCATTAAAATGTTATTATAGAAGGCTGAGGATGTAGGTCAGTGGGAAAAGAGTACTTGCCTAGTGTGTGCAAGGCCCTGGGTTCAATCACCAGCAACAAAAAAACAAAGAAATTAAAAAAAAAAAACACTCTATTATAAAAAAGAATTTGATCACATGGGGATTTGTTCACAATATAGTGTTGAATAAAAAAGCAGGATGAGAACAATCTAACAAACAATATCATCTCAATTTTTAAGCTCTGCTATGCATACATACCCAGAAAAAATCTTGAAGAATCTTCCCAAAATGTTAATAAGAATTACCTTGAGGTGAAATTACTGGTTATCGCTATTTCATACTTTGTGCTTTTTGTAGATATTTCTTTCAGTTTTATTTAATCCATTTGTAAACAGAAGAATATGAACACAATTCATAAAAATGCTTTTCTTATCATTTTAGGATTTTGTAAAGATGATAATAGAATGCAGTCCTCAAATATTCTTAAAATTGAAAAAAAAATGCTAGTCAACTCCCTTGGGGTACCTGGTCCTTTTGTAGGGTATCCTTTGTTTGTGGTCCTTTTTCTTTGTGTATCTTACAGGTGTTAAGCGCCTTGAGTTATGTTTCCAGGCCACATCAATGCCACATTAATAAATTGCTGCTTGGCTCTGTTGGGGTGGGATTTGTAAATGCTCTGATAAAAGAGAAATAATTTTTAAAATATTTAAATTCTAACTCATTCAACTGAATTAGGAAGTAGAATTGATGTTTCTGTGAATATACAGATTTTACTAGATTGGATGTTCTACCTAGGGCTAGGGTGATAGTTAGAAATTTACAAGAATTATTAGGAAGCAATATCATCATCCACCTTTGCAAACCAATTTAATAAAAACTAATCACTAAGCTATATTTCATTAATTACAAAATATACTTTTACCATATGATAACTACATTTCTGTAGTACTTATTATAAATTAGGCATAGAGTGATGACAGTTTATCACAGGGCTTTAGGTGGCTGATGTCATGACCCCCAAACTGCTGTCTCTGCTTGTTGTCCTCCTCTTTTTAGCATTACCCACCACCCGCCACACAGCCATACTGTACCCCACCTTTCTGTCCCACTCTCACACAAAAGATAAAAGATTAGATTTTATCTTTAAAAGTGAACTTGTTCCACATTCCAGTCACATCTGTAGGATCAAAAGGGGTATAGTGCATAAAATCATCTTCATTCCATTTGTTACAATAAACCCTGTATCCTAAATTTAATCACCTGGGGAAAACAAAAGCTTTGCATTTGCCGATTCTCAGAGTGGTTGAGAGATAGCTGATATGCTGAGTCTGTGGACCAGGGAAAAAATTCCACCCTAATTTATATCTGCTCTCCCTGGGGCATGGCCCAAGTCCACTGTCATCATTATTATCACTGTCCCTTTTTTCAAAAGTTAATTATGATTAAGAATTCAATCTTCTTGAAATTAAAGCAGTAGTCACATGAGGAGCAATGGAGACATTTATTAAACTTAGCAGTGCCAGGACTGTACTGGCTCTCATGGTGCTGATGTTTTTGCCACATGGATTGATGTTAAAGAGGATGTGATGGGACCAGCAGTGACCCAGCCTCTGCAAGTGCCTATTCCACACAGTTGCATATATGAATATGCTTTTCACATCATTATAGACTGGAAATCATTACTTTTCCAAATCCTGCCAGGAGTCACTTGACACAGAGATAAGATAGTTTGGCTACTTTCCTCAGGAAATGTTTGCTACAGGATTTCGAAACCCAGTGGATTGTAAGAGTGATTGTTCCAGAATTAAATCAGCACTATGACTGTCTTAGTTTAGGTTGTTATTATAAAAATAGCATAAACCGGGTGGCTTAGAAATAACAGAAATTTACTCGTCACTGTTCTGGAGGCTGGGAATTCTGAGATCCAGTCACCAGCACATTTGGTGTCTGGTGAGAGTTCACTTCCTGGTTCACAGACGGCCATCTTCTTGTTGTGTGCTCACATGGCAGAAGGAGCAATGGACCTCTGAATGCCTCTTTTGTGTAGAGGGACACAATACCTTTATTTTATTTATGTATTTTTATGTGGTACTGAGAATGCAGCCCAGAGCCCAGTGCCTCACAGATAGGAAAGTGCTCTACCATTGAGCCTCAAACCCAGCCCTGAAGGCCTCTTTTTTAAGGGAACCAATCCATGTAGGAGGGCCCCACCCTCATTACCAATCAAGTCCTGAAGTCCTCACCTCCAAATCCCTCACATTGAGGGAAAAGTGCTCAACCTATGAATTTAGGGGCTAAGTGAATATTTAGTCCACAGCAGTGACTAAATAAGAAGAAAGCAAAACATTTTTCTATTTTTCTCTTCAATAGCTTGATAATGAAGTTGAAAAGACAGCAAATCTTGTTATCAGCAATTGGAATCAGCAAATTAAGGCAAGTATCCACAAATATCATTTGTATAACCTTAATTTTTTAATACTGAAGCTTTTCCTTTTTACACAGGCATCATCTAGTGCTGCTAAGTGCTAACTGCAAAGAAAAATGTTTCTTCACCTGAGTTATTATACAGACATGTCTTTCAACTAAGCCAAAGAAGAACATGGCTGAAAATATGGTTATTCATAAATCACAGCAACCCAGTGTAGTATATGACCTTGCCTTGTCCCATTTTACACATGGGAAAACTTGAGACGGAGAGCTGAAGTCGTTTTTCCAAAGGTATAAAGCTGGTTAATGGTTGAACCAAGAATTCTTACAAATTCTTAGATACCAGAGTCACCACTCTGTCCCATTACACTATACCGACTATCTCTCTGTTTAATTTGAAACTCAGGGCACATGACAAACATCATCTGAGTTTGGGATTTTCATTGGGAGAAGGGTTTTGGTGATCTTGACCTCATTAGTGAGAGGGCATGGTGAGGGGAGGGGAGTGAATGTCAAGTGAAATGCACATGTCCATTTCACAAGAATGTATACTCTGTTTTCTATGCATAATACTATGATAAGATATGATCCTTGTTTTTAAGTAATTTGAAATTTAGTTGGCTAGATAAAATATGCAGAAAATAGTGAATGAATTCTAAGGAGAGGAATATTGAACTGATGGGAAGCTGTAGCATACCATTATAGGTTCTTAACAGAGAAAATGGCAGATGGAATCCATATGTACAGATTATTCCAGAATAATCTGGTTAGCAGAAGCTCATTTTAACTAGGAAGGATAAGAGACTAAGAAATCTGCTAAGAAAACCCAATGATATCCTTTGAGAGGACTTGTACTTTAAGAGTTTAAATTTTCCTTTTTCATCTCCTAAGTGTTAGTGCCCAGAAGGAACATTTGCAAGTAAACAGTTCCTGGTGCCAAATGACCAGAGATGCCCTCAGAAACAGGTGGCCTCATCATTGCTTCTGAAGCTTCTGCTGACTCTCAGGACTCCACAGACTAAGGACATTAATAAGAAATATTTGAGATAAATGAATTTCTATGCCGACAGTAATTGTACTGCTCAAACAAAGCTCATAAAAATCACTTTTATAATAAATCTCTAAAGGTCTCAGAAAAAGTATTCAGTCACTTATTTTCAGTTCTGCTTTTGATTTTTCCGAACTCTTTTTAAAAAGATTTGTTTTTATAAACCAATTTTCTTTAAATATTCAGCTTTCACAGGAAATCTAATACAATGGACAAAAAGCCAGAAAAAAAACACTCTGAAGCTACAATTGCTTCCAAGAACCAAAAAAAAAAAAAAAAAAAAAAAAAAACCTTTTATCATTTCCTAGTTTCTACCAAGTCATTTTGCTCAACAAAATGATTTTATTTTTTTATGAAGAGTAATAGAAATTAGAAAACAGAAAATTCTCGAGCTATAATAATTTTCTCTCCAGTTGTAATTCAAGGGATTCAGCAAGTCAACAATGAAACAGTCTCTTTTGGAAACTCGAATGCCAAGCCTTAGAAAACCAAGTCCTCTTGCTCTCACTCATCAGCAGCCATGTGACTGACAAAGGTGGGGGGAAGTGCTATGGGTTGCTTTTCCTTGAATGTCCTTTTGTTGAGCCTTCACATGTTTTGAGAGAGGCAGAAGGCTGTGCCTCTGATTCCAAAGGCGAAAGCCCAAGGGGAGTGAGACCCAGGTTTCCCCCTTTATTATCCATGTTTGTAGGCCTGGCAATCTTGAGGTAAAAAGCCAAATAATCTCTCAGTCGATCTAGTTCCTGAACAGGTTGACTCCAACTCAACCCTAAATCTGTTTGCTTATTTTCTCTCTGAAGCATCATCTTTTAGCCAAAGTCAACTATGCAGAAAAAGAAAGCATCACCCAAATCAGAACCCATACCAAGCTTTGATGCATCCACGGGGCAGGAAACATGGAGTGTTTCTTCCTTCCCCACCTCTCCCCTCACTCCCCACCCTCAGCAAGCACAAGACATTTCAAAGGATGCTAGGAACTGCTCAGCTCTCCAGCCCAGGTATCAGACAGCAAGGTTTCCAGCGATGCTTAAACTTTAAGACAACATTTTACAATAATCTAAGCTGTGGCCCAGCTAAGATTCTCAAAAGAACAATGCCGGTGGCCTTCTGCTTTTGTTATAATTTCATATGGTAAAGCCACACTAGATAGGACAGTGTTCTGAAGGCTTTCAGACCTCTCTTGATTGAGCAAAATGTTGAGTGCACCCCATGCAATGACCAAGTGCACAGTGGTTCTCAGAGCAGAGTGTTCCCTGCTGCAGTATTTTAGGTAGATTTTGAAAAGAGGGAGGGAATGAAGAACTAAAATTACGCAGTGGTTCAAGCTAGCATTTGAACATGCCTCATTCAAAACAAAATAGCTTGGCTCTGGATATTCATTTCTGCTCCTTTATATCTTGTCTGTATGTTTTTGACTGTAGGCTAAGAAAAAATTAATGGTGAGTACTAAGAAGCATGAAGCACTTTTCCATCTTGTAGAAAGCTCCAAGCAATCCATGACTCAGAAGGAGAAGCAGAAGGTAAGCTGGTGTGGGCGGCTGGGTGCATGGGGCTTGGAGGCAGGTTTCCTGCTCTGAGCTGGGAACACAAGAACTGACTGGTTCCTTCCTCTGCATGGACTCTCTGTAGAGTTGAAGGTTGGCAAGGCATAAGAAGGGTCTCCAAATCATTCTGGGCCCACAAGTATTCTTCAAAGATATTATTGACATCACAGATTAGGCCAACAGCTTCTTTTTTTTTTTTTTTTATAAAGAACTCTATTAAAGGACAGGGGTTATAGATCAGTGGTAGAGCGCTTGCCTCGGATGCCGGAGGCACTGGGTTCGATTTCTCAGAACCATATAAAAATAAACAAATAAAGATATTGTGTCCATCTACAATTTAAAAAAAACCTATTAGTAGAAGAAAAAAAACCCTCAGGTCACACTCCAAGTAAGTAATATATATATATATATATATATATATATATATATATATATATATATATTATATATGTTGGAAAAGATGTATGGTATTTTATATATATTATACTAATATGAACATAAAGTAGAAATGTTTGCAGAATGAGACAGATGAAATAATATTTCAGATGATTAGATAATTGTGATGTCTACTTAATCACTAGGTAACAACCATTAAGTAAGTGTATAAACAAAATACATACTTTAGGCAAGGTTTAGCCTTAACCATAGTAAGTATTAATTTATCTTTCTATCAGTCCTCTTGATAATTTAAATTTTTTAAAATAATTAAATAATTGGATTTTTTTTCATATCTTGCTGGATCACCCAGTTTTTACTTTCAATGTGGGCAATGGCATGCTTATAACCAGGAGGAAAATAAAGTATCAGCTCTGCTGTTTTTGTGGTTTTCCTGGGTAGCAACATAAGTCTATGGGTTCCTGGTAGAAATATTTCTAAAAGGTATTAAGAAATGAGACTGATCGAATTATATTATGTTCATTCATAAATATGGAATAATGAATTCTACCATAACATACAATTATAATGCACCAATAAAAATAAATTTGAAAAGAAAAAAATATTTTAAAGACAAGTGTGCATTTTTATATGAACCCAATCAAAGATGGATAATAACTCTGCAAATCCATATGATTTAGGCCTATGCTGATGGCTCTTGTCCCAGGATGCTGGAAGTGAAGAAAAGACCCTTGAAAAGACCGTGGCAGCTTCTCATGTTGCAAAATCCCTGCTTTTTCTCCAGGTCACTTCAGAATCCACAACTGTCCATTTGTGGGCAATAATGTCCTGTCCTGTATTCAATAGGAGCTTGATAATTGTGTTCTTAGGCCAAAATGAATACAAATGATATTGGGGTGCAGGAATAAAAGCAACTACTTTCTGCCTGCACTCCCAGTACGTCATCTTGCACACCTCACATGGTATGTGACCCATATGAGAAACCTTTGAAATATTCAGCACCTTCTTCAGAAGACAGAATACCCCTAAGGAAATACAGGCAGCATTGCTGCTGCGGTCCCAAACATTCTTAAAAGAAAATTGTCACTGCACGTAGCTCTATCATTTCATCCAAAGAGACTATTAGTTAAATAACTTAAATTCATTGTTAGCATCATTTTACAAGGTTCTTATTTCTTCACAGGTCAGTCTTCACAGTTTGAAGTCATAATAAGTGTTGAATAATGAGGTGGCTTCCAAGGAGGTTAACCCACAGTGTGCAAAAATGCTCAGCACCAGGATTTGTCCCAGGCATTCCAAGCCCTCATTAGGAGCTATTCTTTATTGATGTCAAGTAATAACAAAGAAAAAAGATTGCACGTCGAATGCTGAATTTCCTTTTCCCTCATTATTAGCAGCTTCTCTGGGAGGTGGAAGTCTGCAGTCCTCCCCTGCCTTCCAGCAGCAGGTCCTGCAACCATGACCTTAGCCTGTTCTTACACCACAAGACTCATCCCACCTCCTCTGCTTAATCAGGTGGCTGTTCTCTCGTCCTGTAGTGGGGCACCTGAGGCAGCATTCATTTCTCATTTCAACAGAAGCATCTGTATCTCCACTTTGAGCAGTAGCTCTGTGCTTCTCAGCAATTCTTGCTGTTTTCCTGCTGAACAGTCCCTGTTCTCACCAGAAGCTGATGGAAGCCTCCATTCTCTTCCCGCCTCCATCCTCACACCCACACACAGCAGACTCTCCTGCTCTCTACCTCACAGAGTGAACAGAAGGCAGCAGAGCCACCTGCCTCCCCCAGAAATAGCATCTGCTTACTCCAATGGAGAGCCCTGTTCCTCCTGTGTCCCGAGCTCCTGCCATCCTGCCTCTCACACACCTCTGGTTTTCCCCCATCCCTTGACGTGCCACCCAGGGATTGCTCCCAAGGCTTCCTCAAGCATCTCAGTCTATCCAGGCTGCTGTAACTCCGCCTCATCACCTAGTGTCCTAAACAACAAACATTTATTTCCTCACACTTTTGGATATTAGAAATCTAAGGTCAGAATGCCAAGCGCCTGGTAGTGCTGGAGAGGGCCTTGTCCCCGGCTGCTGGATGCAATCCTTTGGTTTCCTCCTCTTTCTACAGGGCAGAAGAGGGTGAGAGAGACCTTGGGGGTTCCTCTTTTAAGGGCATTAATCTTACTCATGAGGACCCCACCCTCAAGACCTAATCACTTCTCAAAGGCCCTGCCTCCTAACGCCCTCACCTAATGCTACCACCTTGGGATTCAAATTCCAACGTGAATTTGGAGACACACATTCAGCCATTGCACTTCCTGTCCTGGAAGAGCAGGAAGAGTCAAAAGCCTTTTCATGACTCTGTTCCTATTCCTCTATTATCCTCTCTCCTTTTTTTACAGTAAGATTTATTTGAAGGACTGTCTGTGCTCTGTCTCCACTTCCTCATCTCATTATCTTTGTCATTTCTAACACCCTAATCCAGCTTTCCCCACCATTTCACCCACCACTCAGAGTGTCCTAAAAAAAAAAAAAAGAAAAGAAAAGAAAGAAAACAAAGTCTTCTTTGTTGTGAGAGCCAACGGGTACTTCCCAGTGCTGACCTTACTGAACTTCTTGGAAGCATTAAACATTGTTTATTTTCCCCTTCTAGGAACATTTTCTTCCTTTACCTTGAGCAAAATGTTATTCTTGGTTTTCCTCCTACCTCTGGAAATTTTGTCTTGGGCTCCTTATGCACTTCCTTTTTCCACCCAATCTATGTATATTGCCTTTTCGGAGGATTTCTCTTACTCTGTTTAAATCTCCAGTGTCCAATGTAGTACCCTTGAGGTCCTGCAGTCAAATAGACTCTCAAGGATTCACCTACCATATCTATGCTGAAGTACCTAAATTTCTTATCTCCAGCTTAAACCAGTTTGCAAACTGTCTTCTGTCACTTCACATTCAACATCTACTGTCAGACCCATCATTTGTCTCTACCAAAAGATCCTCTGTATTCCTGTTTTCTAGATGTTTGAATATCACCATCCAGCCATATCCTCCCAATTCTAACACCTAAGCCACCAAATTCTTGAGCTTGTTCACTTCTGTGTGGCTCCTTGCCACTGCTCTTTCCTGACCCACCATCATTGTTAGTCGGGATTCCACTGACTGGCAGATTGTGCTCTTTGCCTTTTGTGTTGTCTCTTCCTTTCTATCCTGATGGGCAGGTCAAGTTGACTTTTCTGAAACTCAAATCTGATATGCCATTCTCTTCTTTAAAGCCTTCAAAGTCTTTCCAGTAGCCTCAGAATAGAGTCCTCACTCTGTTCTGTGGCCCTTAAGACCGTCCCTGACTTGACTGTGGGGACCTGTCAGCATCAGCTCGGGAGCACTCTTCTCTCTCCCAGATTGTGTACTCCAGTCTTACCAAAAATTTTGCCTGTATGGTGCCGTGCTATTTTGCCTCACCAATTTCTACTTTCATTTTAGGTTTCTTCACATAAGGATCTTTTTAATTTTTTTTTTCAGCACCTACTATGTGTGGAGTCATAGCTTAAGTGGTTTCCTAATTCCAACACTAGTTTAGGTACCTCTCTTGGTGCCCCAGTGACACCTAAGCCCTTCTGTCAAACTGGAGTTCCTAGACCTTAACACACAGGGAGGCAGTGGCCTATGTGATCTAGAGAAAGAGCCCATGTTGTTCTCTTTTCTATTCCCAAAGAGAAAGAACCTATGACACATTGCAAACAATCAATAAATGTTTGGTGAATAAATGAATAAGATGTTTTTTCCAAGAGGAAAGAAGAATACTGACAAATTTTAGTAAAGTACATGTCTTAAATAAAAACAGTAGTCTACGTTCTTTTTTACATCCATTTGGGGCTCTTTTCTATACATTTGCTATGCAGAAACTTGTGGTCAGTAGTGCCATCATACAGTAATGAATGTGAGTGGTCATCTCAAAAGGGACTTAGAGGCTGGGGATATAACCCAGTTGGTAGAGTGCTTGCCTCACATGCACAAGGCCCTGGGTTCAATCCCTAGCAACACACACACACAAAATCAAAAGTGACTTAGTTCTCACTGCTGGGTGTCTGAGCATTCTCCATAAGAATCTAAGGACAATGATTTAGCAAAGTACAGCCCTGGTACTCTTTGGGCTCTTTCACTATATTGTTATCAGGTTAAAACTCACAAGCCATGTTTCTCAAATAGATGTGGTTCATTACACTTAAAATACAAAACTAAATGTGATATGTCCTTGTAGGTCATACATCACAGCTGAAGGACAGCTGAATAGCTAGCATATCAATTGGAATAATAAAGTGAGTGGTATTAATATTCAGCATTTTGGATGGATGTTCTTCATTATTGTGACATTAGTCAAAATGTCCTTAAACATAAAGAGGGTCGTTCTTAAAGCCTTTGTTTCTGTCCTTGAAATTCCTACACTGCTAAAATCAGGGAAGTTCTTGCTATTCTTTAAAGTGTGGTTTGAGGACTGTTTGCATGAGAATCATCTGAGGAGGGAGTGAAGATTCTGATTTCCAAGTTCCAGCTTCTGCATCAGTTTTGCTCCATGTGGGGCCCTGGAAGTTCCCATTTTACAAGCATGCCACGTCATTCTAGGCATGCTGAAGTTTGAAAATCATTCATGTAATCAACTTGCTCATTTCTCAGAGATATGAAATTGCTTGTCTGGACATTTTGATCATCAAATTCAATTACTGTGGTTCTGGAAGTTCTGTGTTACTTCAATGTACCAGAAGACATAACAATAAAAATGGCAAATATTGGCAGGAGGGGACTCTTTGGGAAGCAATGTGAGAGGATACCATCTATCTGACAGTGAACCTATATCTCAGGCTTTTCATTAGTAACAATTGCAGTCACCAGTGTTTTGAGTGCTCTGCTAGGTGTTGTGTGCCTTACAATGCATTACCCATGAGTCCTCAAAGCAGCCCAGCAAAGCAGGAATTATCATCATCCCCATCAGAGAATGTGAAAATCGTGGCTTATGAAGACTAAGTAACTTCTCCTAGCCAGAACCAGGACTCTAATTCTGGAAGTCTGACTCCCAATGTCCACTGCTAGCTTCAAGACGTGGCTTATGAAGACTAAGTAACTTCTCCTAGCCAGAACCAGGACTCTAATTCTGGAAGTCTGACTCCCAATGTCCACTGCTAGCTTCAAGATGGTCAGACAGGATGATAGCCAGCTCTATTCTAAAAATTATATAATTCCACAAGTCTCTACCTGTCTTGGTAAGAAATTCAAGGACCTAAAAGATTTACCAAATGAGACTATAGGATTTATTGGTAGATTGTACTTGTAAATTGGAGATCCTTGACCCGCATTGCTGATTTTCAAATGCACTGTCATTTGGCCTTTTTTTTGATTTGATAAATGCAAGCAAATCATTTCATATGTAAAGCCTCAATTTCTTCATGTGTAAAATTGAGGGTTTCATACTGAAAAGACCTTTTAGGTTTCCTTCTGGTTCTGCCATCTGTTTATTCTGGGAAAATATATTTGGTGTTGTCATTTATAGTTATTTTTTATAACTGAAATATATCATTAGGCCACATGTAATTCTTTTTTGGAATTAAAAAGAGCTTTCATACTAGTGTTAATTAATATGTGACAATGTGTTTTGCTTTAGCTCCTCAATAAACTGAAAAAATCAACTGAAAAGCTGGAAAAGGAAGATGAAAATTACTACCAAAAAAACATGGCAGGCTATTCTACTAGACTGAAGTGGGAAAATACACTAGAAAACTGCTACAAGGTACGTTGTTCATTCACATTTTTCTTCTTCCATGGAGCTTTGTGTGACCTTGGAAATGAAGGTCAGTCTGACAGTTAAAAAACCCTATTTCTGTCTTAGCTCTGGTTCTTATGTGACCTTAGACAAACCACTTTGCCTCTCATTGTTTCCATTTCTTCATGGATAGAAGTACCAATAAACATTTATTGAGTATCATTACCCAGAGTTTCAGCTCCTAATTCTCAAGGGTCACAACAGCATTCAGCTAACTTTAAAAAGTTCTGTTAAATAAAAACATAACTTGAGGCTTCAATATTAGATATTCTGAATTGAGTTTTAAGGCATGAGAGCTGACCCATACAGTGATCACTTATGGAGTTTCCTTGTATGTTAGGAATTGCATGGGACTCTGGAGATATATAACAATGAATGAAGTACTATCCTAACACTTTAAATATGCATCTTTGGGCCAGGCATTGTGGTGCATGCTTATAATACCAGAGGCTCTAGAGGCTGAGGCAGGAGGATTGCAAGTTCAAGATCAGCCTCAGCAATTTAATAAGACCCTGTTTCAAAATAAAAAAATAAAAAGGACTGGGGATGTAGATTAGTGCCCCTCATTCTAAACCCCAGAACAAGGGAAAGAAATGCACCCTAGTGGTACAGACAGAGACATAAAGAATGAATTGTGAGGGCTGGGGTTGTGGCTCAGTGATAGAATACTTGCCTAGCATGCGTGAGACACTGGATTTGATTCTCAGCCCTGCATGTAAATAAATAAATAAAAATAAAGGTCCTCAACAACTAAAAAAAAAAAAAAATTTAAAAAGAATGAATTGTGACAAATTGTCCAACAAAAATAAATAAAAGATATCAACAAGAAAGTCACAAAAGGGGAAATCAAAATCACCATTAAACATATGAAGAGATGCTCAATCATTTGACAAAATTAGGAAGTATAAATATCAAGTACTAACAAGGAGGTTAGAAGATAGAATTCTTGTACCACTTTAGTGTATGTAATTAATGGTCTCTACTAACATTGAAATGTACACATACCCACAATACAGCAGTTCCCCTTTTGGGCATATATCCTGAAGACACATTTACATTGTACCTCAAGAATAATGCATGAGTATGTTTATTACAGAATTGTCTATAATCGCATGGTGAGAAAAAGATTGTACACAATTTTTATTACCCACCAATAGACCAGTCTTAAATAATGTGCTCTAAGTTGGAAGTAGATGAATACTCAGCAATAAAAAGTTAATTAAAACTATATTTAAATATGAATTAACCTAAAACATTATGTTGAAGAAAAGAAATATACCATTTATACAATCTGTAAATTTTTTAAAATTTTTGAACTCACACCCACACTACACTGTTTATATGTGGTGTGTTCGTAAACATATACACATTGACTGAATCTTTATGTGGTGGGGCAACTAGAGCTCATGGAGGACGGCCACACATAGCCACAAAGCTTGTGGATGGCCCCTGGTGAGACAATGCAACCAGCGCAGGATCGAAACCCTCTTCAAACTCTACATATGAGTAAGCTTACCTCTCGATTTCTCAAGTCAACATAAATGTGACCAAATTAAATAATTAGCAATCTGGTAATAACATGAATATTTTTGTTTTATATTTCCTCCATGTGTTTTAAAATTTTTAAAAATGTTTAAAGCAATTGCTGTTTGAAGAAGTGACCTACTGGCAGGTGTCTGGTGCTCAGCATGGACGTGCGTTTTGCTACGTGCTTCTGTGTGCATCCTATTTTGTAGCCATCAAAACATGTGAGGACCATAATTTTATTCCCAGTTTATAGTTGAGGAAAGTGAGGCTGGAGAAATGAAGTAACCTGCACAAGATGGTTTGGGGATTCAACAAAGGCCTCTGCACTATGCTTCTACCCCAGTAAGAACTGGGAGAGGGAAGGATATAGGTTAGCAGAAACCGAGGGGCTGCGTTTAAATCTTGCGCATTTCAACCACCTTCAGTGTAAGATAGATGTAAAGTTAGAGGAGAAAGGAGGAAGTGAGGGAGAGATGAAAACTTGGTCCAAGCTGGGCATGGTGGTGCATGCCTGTAATACCAGCAGCTCGGGAGGCTGAGACAGGAGCATCACAAGTTCAAAGCCAGCCTCAGCAACAGCAAGGCACTAAGCAGCTCAGTGAGACCCTGTCTTTAAATAAAATACAAAATAGGGCTGGGGATGTGGCTAAGTGGTTGAGTGCTCCTGAGTTCAATCCCCCCCCACCCACCCCCAAAAAAGAACTTGGCCCAAAGATGGGAAGAAATGAGAAGAAACATAGGATCCTGGCTGCCCTTGCTTATGCTGAGCAGGCTATAGGTGCAGATGATGAGGAAGGGCCAGGCATCTCAAGCCTAACGACCTACTGAAGTCTGGCTCTCCAGCCTGGACTCTACCCTCCCAAGAATTCCAAGACTTCCCAGTGAAGCTGGAGCTTCCACAAAGTCAGCTTCCTCTGACAGCTCTGTTAGGAGAGAAATTGCATCTCCCACTCCATCTTCCAGGCACTCTTCAAGGGCTATGAGAAAAAATCTGTAAGCTCAGCATCTCCATCTTCCCCAGGCTTCTACCCATGTCACTGCAGTGAGCCACAGTAATGGTTCTCAGCGGGTGGGCCTTTGAACTGTGTCAGGTACCCCTGGTACTAGCCTCATCATCCAAGGCTCTCACTAGATCTTCCTTACCTCAGTTTCCTTTACTCCTATTAAAATTCTCCTACTCTTCCCTTACCTCAATTCAGCAATGCTTATTTTTATATTGAAGCATTATGGAAATTATCTTCTCTTCTTACAAAGTCATCCTGATGGTGACATAATATACATTCATTTACTTTTCAAAAAGCCTGCTGAAGTTGAAGAACTTGAACTTGTTTGTTGTTATGGTTGTTTTGTTGGAATCCAGATCAGGTGGAGTAGCTCCTGAAAGTCATAATCTCCTTAAGGAAGAGCAGGACATTTTTCAAGCTTCTTGTGTCCCAGACGTTTGTGGCTGCTGTGCTGGAAGCTGTCAGTATCACACTCCCTCTCCCATTGGTTGACACAGCTCCTCTCACTCACCTTCCCCTGAGCTCCCTTCTGTTTTCTGAGTGCCAGCCCACAGCCACCGGACCCAACTGGAGTCCACCTCTGTCATGTCATCCTTGTTCCATCTAACCCCAATAATGCTGCCTTGACTTTGCATTTCCTTGACTTACGCCCACTCAACCTTTACCAACACGTCATTGACTCACCTACCTTACTCTATGTCTTCTACATCTTTTGTATATTTCCAAACTCAAGAGTAAAATGTTAGATTCCTGGAGAGATGAAGTAACCTGCCCAAGATGGTTTGGGGATTCAACATATAAAAACAGGCTGAATTCATTAAAGGAGAATTTCATTAAAAGTGCAAGTGATAGAAACGGGACAATTAGGGCCTCTCAATTCTGTTTATTTATTTATTTATTGGTCTTCTTTCCCTCACCATTCTTCTGTAAAAGCTGAATATAAGAATTCAATTTAGAGTCCTAGCAAGTATCCTATTACCTCTTCTCTGAGTTTGTTTTGGAAATTTTTTTCAGAAAACACTTATTAAACTCTGTTCAAGGAAGTTTACTCGATGTTTTAGTCAGCTTTTTTGCTGCTGTGACTAAAGGACCTGGCCAGAACAACTGTAGAGGAGGAAAAGTTTATTTGAGGGCTCAGGGTTTCAGAGGTCTTAGACCATAGAAGACCAGCTCTATTCCTCAGGGCTCAAAGTGAGTCAGAACACCAAGGTAGAAGAATGCGGCAGAGAGAAGCAGCTCACATGATGATCAGGAAGCAGAGAGAGAGAGAGAGACTCCACTTGCCAGATACAAATATATACCCCATAGGCATGTCCCCCAAGGAACCACTTCCTCCAGCCACACCTCACATACCTCCAGAACAGACTTCTCCCCTAAGGAAGGGGAAACCAAACGCAGAATCCACGGAATGAGGAAGTCCCATCCCTTTGATATATCTAAAGTTTTCTTTGTTTTTTTTGCATTCTTCTCCCTTTCTTGTTCATTTCCCCTCATCCTGTATACCTGATCTGAGACAGGTGGGAAGGCCAAAAAGTGGGAAACAGGTGGGATGGAGGAGCCAGGATGGAGTGATCTGGGCAGGAAGCAGGTGGGGGCCAGGGCAAATTAATTAGCAGTTCCCTGTCAGCTCTGGAGTTGCTTCATTAACAGCTCTTTAGGAGGGGCAGTATAGGAAGGACTCTGGGGAACCTTAACATTTCAATCTCACAAGGTGCAGACTACACTTTCGAGGACCTTCAGGGACCCCAACCGGTCTGTTTTCTTCAATCTAGCCTGATTTATCTGTCTACACTGACTGCCTATTTTAAATTCTGGCTTCATTAGAGCTTAATTTCCTCCTAGGACCCCTGTTGGAAAAGGTGATTTCCTTTCTACAGATCTGTCTTGAGGAAGTAGCTGAAAACAACACCGGGATTTCTATTCAAAAAAAGGAGATGGAAGGATGTAGCTCAGTGGTAGAGCTCTGAGAGGCCCTGGGTTCTATCCCAGCACTTCAAAAAAAAAAGAAAAAGAAAAAAGTAAACAGAGGGAAACAATCCAAGTAACCAACATTAAAGGGGTGACTAAATGGATCATATACCTACAATAGACTATTATAAAGTAATTTAAATCGTCTTCAGAGATGAATGGTGTGAGAAATTGCTCATGTGTGAGGTTAAGTGGAAAAACTAGGATATCAGATTTGGATAATTTGGTAGAAAATTAGAAAATAAAATCATGCACACATACTTAGACTGAAATCCATTAGAATGTCAGTAGTGGTCATCCTGGGTGGAAGAATAATGAATGACTTTAAAGGTATTTCTGTGTGCCCCTTTGTGGCCCTATGATGTCTCCAAGCAGCTGGAAATTTGTTAAAATTCAGATTCCTGAGCACCTTCTCAGAGGAATCAGAATCTCTGAGTGATTCTCTGAGTGACTTCTAAGCATTCTGAAGTTTGAGAGTCCCTGCTCTAGAAAGAGAATGATATTTCTTTCATTAGTTTTATGAAAGCAATTTAAATGAAAACACAGTCCCCTCAAGCTCCTCTGTTGTAGTGACAGGAACTGAAAAGAGTGACTGAAGAGGATGAATTATCATGATGCCTGAGCCACAGACAGGCCCTAAATCTGCTGTGTCTTGACAACTCTCTGACTACACTTTCTTCAAATGTGCCACTATGAAAACACAAGAGGACAGCCGGAGGTCCTCCAGGGTGTCATGTCTCTGGATTGCCCATTTTATACAAAAGAACAAGATAATAGGAAATAATAATTCATTAAATGAGATATGGATTTCTCCTTTCCACATAGAATTTATTTCCACCTCTTTTTATGAGCAAGCATAGATCACTTTAATGATTTCCTTGAAATGTAATTAAAATCTGTTAAACATTACCATCTCTGCCAAAGAACACCAGTTATTCTAGCCTCAGACTGATGCTAATGGTTCAGCATTTATTAAAGAAACTGCTGCCATCAGGGACGCAGGGTGCTCTAAGACCTGCCTTTATTTTTTTTTTCCCTAGTCCTTTCTTTGCGCATAGTGCTAAACTGAAACATCGGGTTTCTACATCTTTTTTGATGGCAGAAGGACTTTTTTTTCTTCTTTGAAGATTGTCCCACCTGAGATCCAATCAAAGGAGCAGAATTTGTTGTACACATTTGTTATGAGGCACATCAATTCTGACCTTTGAAGAAGTAGTACATTTGATGAGTTGCTGTGTTTTTAATCCTTTATCCAGGAGACAGAAAGGCAAATGGTCACATTCAAATGACAAGGATCAGCAGTTTTGGAGAGACTCAGAAAACCAATAACAGATTCCACTTAGAAAGATGGTGTGGCTTTTGACACAGCTGAGAAAGTGGCCTCTGAGTCACAGATCTAGGCTTCTGATAAAATGTTAGGACTTTGGGCACAAGATCTAAATGTCTATGTGATGAGTATAGATGTTCATAATTATTGACTGAGCCTTTTACCACTTGCTTTTAAAAGAAGGGCTAAAGATGACTTTACACTAATAAAATATAGCATGGATTTACATGGGAATTTCATCTGGTCTTAAAAAGGAAGAAAATGCCACAACGTGGACAAACTTCAAAAACATCATGCTGAAAAACATTATTATAAAATAATCTAGACACAAAAGGACAAATATTATATGATTCCTCTTATTTGAGATGCTACAGGAGTCAAATTTATAGAGACAGAAAATGGAATGATGGTTGCCAGGGCTGGGGAAAGAAGGGAAATAGTTGACTTTTTATGGGTACAGAGGTTCAGTTTTTGTTTGTTTGTTTTGTGGGGTTTTGTTTTGTTTTTTGTTTTTGTTTTGATACCAAAACCCAGAGGCACTTAACCACTAAGCCATATCCTTAGCCCATTTTTATTTTTTATTTTGAGACAGGGTCTCACTAAGTTGCTTAGGGCCTCACTAAATTGCTGTGGCTGACTTTGAACTTGTGATCCTCCTGCCTCAGCCTCTAGAGCTGCTGGGATTACAGGTGTGCACCAGAGGTTCAGTTTTACGAGAAAAAAAAGGTTCTGGAAATGGATGCTGGGGGTGGTTACATAATAATGGCACTGAACTGGATGCTTAAAAATGGTTAAAATGGTACATCTTAGGTTATATACATTTTACTATAATTTTAAAAAATAAATTAGAATTAAAAGTTTGGATTACTTAATACAATAGATGAAGTAATAGTGCAAGGATGTAGAAGAGCACCATACTGGATCAGGCATGCAGGGCCAGGCAGGATGGGGAATTCAGGGATCTCTGGACTCTCTCCAGCCCCACCTCTATACCAATGGCCAGGAAAGAAAGTCATCTTCTCTCAATGGTAGGATACCTGCTAATTTCCCCAAAGCCTTCCTCATGAAAGGTTTTTGCCAAGTACAAGTACTTTGTCAGTATAGGAGATGAGATAGCAGCTATGAAAGCAAATCCGGCCTTCTCTAGATAAAAGAATGAATATGTAACCCTCTGTTCTTATAAAAACAGAATGGGGAGAATTTTGTCTTGGTCCCTTGCCATCTCCATCAAGGTTCAGACTCCTCTGGGCCTGTACCCAGCAGCCTCACGCTGCCCCTACATGACCCACAAATCTCCCCAGCATACTCCACCTAGTTGTTGAACTTCTCCACCATCTCTAAAAAACACCAGTCATCAACTTGAGTGGCCAGAGTCTGATAGCTAACTTGTTCAAAAATGTGAATAGGTAATGAGGCAAGAGTGATGTTCTTTGCTTCCTTGTTGACACTTCTGAGCCAAAAGTCATGACCCTCCAGTTGTGGAATTTTTGTCATTCCACACACTCCTACCTCATGCAGTAGTCTCTGACCCCAGGGCCTAATTTTGGGCCAAGATTGTGAATCGATCAGTCTTTCAGATCCTGCTCTTGTCAGATAGTCTCCTTAAACAGAGAATGTGCCTCGTCATCTTTGCACCTACAGAGACTAGCAGAATGTGTCCACCATGAGTGATCTGGAAAGTATTTATTGTCTAAATGTGTTTCTACATGGGTTTTACTGAGCTTCACTCCCCTCTAGAAATCAGAGGCGCTTCTTTAGTACTTGCTTTTTCTGCATTCTTGTGAACATCGGTTACCCCATAGCATTTTCCTATACGCCTTTGGGGGCAAAAGATCCCACGGAAAGCTTATGAGTTAAAGCCATTTTAAAGGAGGAAAATAGGACAGACACCAACTCATATTCTCTCTTGGAAACCTCCCTTCATTGCTGTTTGGATATGACGTAGTAAAAAGGCAAATCGTGACAGTATGCTCAGACTGTCCTCAGGTGTGTCAGTGTTTGATGGGTGACTTCAGTTTTGCATACCAAATGATCACTCTTACCTCATTTTCCATCCCCTTCAGAGCATCCTGGACCTGGAGAAGGAAAGAACTCAACTTCTATGCAATAACTTAAACCAGTACAGCCAGCATATTTCTCTTTTTGGCCAAACCCTGACCACAGTGAGTAGTGAAGGTTTCTCCATGTTTGGCATGCAGGGTAAAAAAAAATTGGCAGGAAACATTTCTTCAACAACCTTGTTCTGCTTTCCTTGGCTCTGCAGTGCCACACACAGATTCACTGTGCCATCAACAAGATTGATGTCGAAAAAGATATCCAAGCGCTAATAGAAGAAACTGCAAATTTATCTACAGAAAACAAATCTGAATTCCTACTGACCGATTACTTTGTAAGTATGACCAACAGGAAGTTACCTTGGGGAAGGGGCTTCATTATACATTGAAAAACTCATTTCAAAAAAATTGAAAATAGCTATAAATAAAATGTGGTAAGTAAAAATGTTTTATTTGTATTGTCTACAAAAATAAAATATATACAATGTGTGGTTTACAAACTGGGCAGTGGTATTCTCTGGAAGGAATGAAGGTCTTGCTGGGTTTTAGAATCTTCCAGTTTAGACTTTGTCTTCACCTGTTTTATGCTGCTGTTGCAGAATACAACAGACTGAGTAATTTATAAAGAATAGAAGTTTACTGGGCTTGTGGTTTTGGAGCTGTGAAGTGTCAGATAACAAGGTTACATGTGGGAAGGGTCTTCTTGCTGCATCATAATGTGGCAAAAGGTGTCACATGGGTAAAAGAGCAAGAGAGGGCCAAACTTTCTTTAATAAAAAAAACTACTCCCATAATAAGGGAGTCCCCTGATGGCCTGATCACATCTTAAGGACCCACCTCTCAACACTCAACACTGTTGCACTGGGTGTTAAACTTCCAACACTTGAACTTTGGAGGACATTGAAATCATAGTAGTCTTCTAGAAAAAGCAATACCAGGCAGATGTGTTTCATGATCTAGGAATATCATATTGTGCCTGTCCTGGTTATCTTCACAAATCACTATGAGCACATTAGTTTATATGGGTCAGGAACCCATGCTCAGCTTAGCTGGGTCCCCAGAGTCCCTCATGAGGCAGCAGTGGAGGTGCCAACCAGGACTACAGACATCTCAAGGCTCCACTGAGAGAGGACCCATCTTCAACTTTACTCAAGTGGCTGTTGGCAGCCTCTGGTCCTCGCTGGCTGGTAGTAGGAGGTACCATTTCCTTTCCATGTGGGTTTCTCCACATCTCACTGCATGGCAACCTAATTCTCCCTGAATGAGTGACCAAGAGAGACATAGCCAGAGTGCCCCCAAAGGAATCAGGGTGTGCCGTGAGCTGAGTTCAGAAGTGGGGGGTATTGGAATTCAGAAAGCTCGGTCTCCATTCAAGGGGAGGAGATGACACAAAAGCACAAATCCTAGAAGGTGGGGATTACTATCAACATTGCTTATGGTCCTTTCCTTTGAAAAACTTGGACTAAATTCTGAGAGTATTTGGGTGATTCCTCTATGGAATGACCTTTCTTGCTGGAAACTGATCATTGTCTCTAGTCAGAGCCCAGGCATCTTGTCTCTGCTCTTTTGGTTAATTCTTTGTCCTCTTGGGTCATGCCTCAAAGATTTGGGCCTCTGCTTGCCTCTTGTTAGTCTTAATTGTGATGTTCTAGGAGCTTTTCTTTTTTTTTTGAGAGGAAAAATTTTTTTTCTTCTTTCCTTTCTATTTTTTTCTTTCCAGCCCGGTTTAGAATTCTATCCCTCTCTAATCTATAGACAGCCCACTGGTCATATCCTCCTCTTAGATTAAATGCATAGCTGAAGCCAACAATCCAGACCCCTGCTCAGGGATCAAGAGATGAGGAGAGAAGGGAAAGGCAGAGGTGGAGTGAGCAGTGGATGCTGACAGGTCTCCTTCCCCATTCTCCAAACAGCAACAAGGAGCCAGTTATTTCCTTGAGCGAGTCTTTTTTTGTACCTTGGCAAAAGTGAACTATGTTAGCAATAGCAATGTCTGTTTGAAGCAGGCACAAAGGTAAAGGAGGGAGTTGGAAAGGGAGTTTGATTGCAAGAGGAAGATTAACTAGCCTGTCAATAGAATAAGGGCCATTCTTCTTGGAATTAACCTAGGGTTCTATTGAAAGGCAAGGCTATAGACATGATGATTTATCTTTAATTCATGTTCACGGAATTTTTAAATTTGTTGTCTATGAAGCTTTGATGCACCAAAACTCACAACCACATATCTCAGCTGAAAAGAAAAGACTGTCTCAAAATGAGTGAATAGAATTTTCTTGATATCCTAACATCAAAGCACCCCAATGTCTATACTCATTGGCACCCAGTGTAGACTGACTTTTATTTAGTGCTCCAAAGTTTACATGGACCACAGCAAGGCAGGAGAACAATCTGACTTCAAAAATGTGAAAATATTTATAAGCCTACTGTAATGTCATGTTCAACGATTGTATCTGTGGTTTTATATGCCTCCTCCAGTATTGATCATCTTTCTAACAAATCTTTGACAAAAAAGGACACATTTAAGGAAGTTAAACAATATCAATATGCACGCCCCCCCCCCCTTTTAAAGTTAATCTGGAAGAAATTCAGCCCTGAAAATACATGCTTAAATAATAGATGTTCCCAGACCAAAGGAAGTCTTGGCCTGGCACAGGAGCTAGATTATGATTGGCATTCTTCCAGCAAGGAGGGACTGTGGGTTGGAGTTAGGTGTCCTATCAGCTTAGCCACAGCTCATCTGAGAGTGTGGCCTCAGCCAGGTCTCAGCTCTTGGCAGATGTGTAAAGGTGAGGTAGAGAACCTGGGGTCACAGTAGTTCAGTAGTTGTGTTTTAGGAATGAATACTTCTGTTTCAGCTTGGACCTCCTTTCCTCTGTGTCATAGTCAAAGTGCGGAGGACAAAACCAACCTCATATAGTAGTTGTAAGCATTGTGTGCAGCACAGAATATAGAGAAACTTTTATAATGCATAATATGTAAATAAAGTATTTCAGTCATGTTATTACATTGTTACAAAGGCTACTCCTTTTGCCCCCCATCCTCAAGCTCCTTTCTACACTATGAGTCACCCGAAGCTCATCTCTCCACCAGTACTCAGGATCCTAGTTCTCCTCCTTCCTTATCAGAGAAGCCTGCCTCCTCCCCTCCTCTTTCTCCACAGGTTTCTGTCCACTCACACTGAGTCACCTCCCCACCCCACCATCCTAATTTTTTTTTTCTTATTTAAGGCTTGAGATAATCCAGTGAAAGCTCAGAAATCATCAGTAGTCCCTCATAACCTATGGGATAAAAATCTCTGCTTCTGCCCTAAAATCTGGCCTAGCTTGCACTTTTTCTTCCCCTAGCTTTTTGCTCAAGCAACTGTTCTACTTGTTCCTAAAGCATTCCGCACAGAGTCCCCACTTTGTCCTTTGCATGTCCCTGGAGTGCCCTTTATCCTCCTTTCACTTTACTGAAAAGTCCTAGTCAGTCAGGTCTTCCAGCCCCCTGGAAGCTTTTGACTGTCTCCCCTCTTGCTGCCTGCACCATTCATGGTGACACATTGTTAATTCTCGTAATGTCATGCTTCAAGGCCTAATTAGATGATAAACCCATTGGGGGCCAGAGCATGGAACTTCACAAGCGTAGAACTCAGTTCACATCCTAGCCTGAAGCCATCCTAGCCTGAGGATTAAACATGATATTTGAACCACCAAAGGACTCTAACTTGAACAATAAATATCCAACAAATAGATTTATTGATCAAGAAAGTCAAATAAGTCTCCTCCTCCAAGAATAACTTGTTCTGCTACAGAAAAAGCTCAGCTGTGTACTTACAAGCTGTAAATACAAGATGTTTTCTTCTTAATCAGGTCTAGAACAGGTAGAACAATGTGTGCAAACTAAAGATTATCCTGATTTTCTTTTTCCCTTTTTTCTTCTGCAAAGTTAAAATTAAATGGAGCCAGTGAAAGTTTCATTAAAAACTAGGAGTAGGAACTCTTACCTTTTTCCCCTTAGGTTGTTGAACATCTTTTTTCTTTCCCTGAAGGAAGAAGATCCTAACAATGCAATGGATAAAGAGAGACGAAAGTCTTTAATAAAACCGAAATTGTTGAGACTGCAAAAAGACATTGAAAAAGCCTCCAGAGACAGGGAAGGTGTGTGATTATCTCTTCAAATGGTCCAGTAAGGAAAAATATCATACCCAGAGTTTTTATTTCAAGTTAGGATTAATCTGCTTTTGCTGACTGGGCCAGGGGTCATCTCATTTGAAGAACCACACATCAAACCTAAGTCGTATGAATAAAGAAAAAGTTTAAAAAAGAAAAGAGAAAGCAAAATGTGTAAAATAACATTCTGGCCTATTTAGGAGAGCTATATAAGTACTATACTATCACTTCTAGAAATACAGCATTTTACTGTGTTTTGGAAATTGGCTGGAATGAGAGACAATTTGTGCGATTTAAAAAATATGTTAAACCTGCCATGCAGAATTTTTGCTCTGTTTCTTTCTTTTTACAACTTTCGAAATAAGGTGAAAAATCATTCAAATTCAACCTTGTCCTTAGCAATTAGGAATGTTAGAAAGAGAAGCAGTTCTAATGAAATGCAGATGGTGAAAACAGCTGCATACTTGCAATTCTAATATGTCCAGCTTGTTTTACACCGATCTCAGTAACTCATTGCAATGTAATGCAGATAGGAAATCCAAGACAGAAAATGTTTAGTGATGTAAACAGAATACTGTGGAAGAGCCTAACATTATGTAAATGTTAGAAATTACTGGAATGGGCCTACGAAAAGGAATTCAAAATCTCATCTTGTAAACTAACAATCAAGATATTTAAAGCACCCGTAATTATCAAATTTCATTAAATGAAGGTAAATGAACAATTCATTTATCATTCACTAATAACAACTATAACAGGAACTGCCCCAGCCAGTGAGGAAATACTATTTCTAGGTTCAGAACCCCTTTGAGGGGGACGGGCTCCCAGCTGTGTCCCACCAAACAGGATGAATGGTGACCCAAAGTGACCAAGAACATTGTTTCATTCTCAGGCCTGGAGCGAATGCTTACTGTGTACTCCAGCAGCTCCTCCTTCTCCAATGCAAAGAACCAGAAAGACACAGCTGCGTTAATGGATGAGGTAAATATTTGCACAGTGATGAAGGGGTTATTTTTAAAATACTTGTTTTCCAGCCCATGTTTGCCTTTCCTTTCTTGGGACAGAACAGCTTATTGGGCCAGTCCCTTTATAGGTAGTGGAAGGGATCTGGAAAAATCCACCTACTTAAAAATGTTTGCTTTGGTATCTTCTAAAAGAAAGACACTGGTAAAAAAAAAAAAAAAAAAAAATAGTATCTTAAATAGAATTCTCCAAAATAGATCCATTATCTAATAAAATGATGTGCACTTTAACCCAGTTAAGAAAAGTCTCCTAAAATACAGGGTTTACATTCAGGAAGGCCTTGTGTTTGGATTTAGCTCTGCAGCTTACAGAAAACTGGGACAACTGTGGTTTTTCCATCTGTGAAATAAAGACATTGGAACTTACCTCAAAGAGTTTGTGAGGATGGAATATTATTTAGTAAGTACTAGCATAGTGCTCAGCGGAGCTCAAAATTTAGTGCAGATGGTCCCCAGATTTGACTTAGTGATTTTTTTACTTTATAGTGGTAGGTAAGTGTGTCCACACACCCATTCTGTGGCTCACTTTCAACACAGTATTGCATAAATTACATGAGATACTCATCATTTTATTATAACACAGTCTTTGTGTTCAATGATTTTGCCCAGCTGTAGGCTGATGTAAGAGTTCTGAGTATATTTAAGATAGGCTAGGATAAGCGAGGATGTTCGGGAGGTTAAGTGTATAAAATGCATTTTGGAGGTTTGGATACTGGGGATTGAACTCAGGGGCACTCGACCACTGAGCCACATCCCCAGCCCTATTTGTATTTTATTATTTTATTTAGAGACCGGGTCTCACTGAGTTGCTAGCACCTCACTTTTGCTGAGGCTGGTTTTGAACTCGAAATTCTCCTGCCTCAACGTCCTGAGATGCTAGGACTACAGGTGTGTGCCACCAAAATGCATTTTTGGCTCAAAGTATTTTCGTCTCACACTAGTTTCTTGGGACATAGCCTCATCATAAGTGAGGAGCATCTGTAATTTTTATAAGATGCTGCTTTCCATTCATCCATCAACTGGCATCAGGCCCCCAGAGAATAACAAGAGAAAAGGAAGGTGTGGTCAGATGGAAAAAAGAGGGCAGTCTGGGTGAGGGGCAAAGCCTCTGAGGAAACAAGGAGCAACTTTAGAGGCGAGGTTCTTTGGGGGCTAGGCTGGCGGTAGGAGATGGTGGAGCAGAGCTGCAGGATGGTCCCACTGACCTTTTGGCAGAGAGCTTGGACTCCAGCAGCACCACAGATATTCATAGGAAGGGTGAACATTTTGACCACTTTGGAGGAACCCACATTAATAGGGCATCTTGAAAAAGACCTCAACATTTTATATAGGAATAAAGTTGAACAGATACAGATTACCTAGGTGTGAAAGATGTGTGTTTTTGCTGTGATTCAAGTGATCAGAAGTGGACTTGGGTTAATTGAGAATTCAGGAACAGTAAAAAATTTTAGCAAGTTTTGAAAGATACTAGAATCTGGGCCAGCTTTCTTTATCTAACTCTCTTATGAAGGGAAGCATATAATAATTTTGCCCGAACTGGCAATTTCAGGTGCTTTGGAGAAAGTGGACAGAAGCAGCCAATTATAGCTGTTCTGGGATTTAGTGCAGATTTCTTTTAGTGGGGAGGCTGTTGCAGGGACATTTCTTATGAAAAGAAAGGCCTGTGTCTGTTCTCTGGAGCACAGAGATCTGACACACTACTGCAATGGCACTTGGCATTAAAACAGACTCTCAGACATTTTCTGTGACCGTACAAAATGTTTAGTTAACTTAGTGCAAATAATATTTACCAAATCAAAGCCATAAAAACATTTTATGATACCATGGAATTATAAGATTCTTTCATTGTTCTTGCATAGAATTTTATCTTTGTTACTACTAGCAAAGAGCACATATGTCCCAAACTTTTTTGCAAAATTTTAAGATAAATTTATTTTTATTTCTCCTGAGTACAATAAGCTAAATACAGTTGAATACGTTCCTTGTAGGTTAAGAGACTATGAAGAATGAAAAATATTTTGTATTTCTTCTCTGCCTTCTTCAATCAACACTTATAATTTCCTTTCTTGTTTCTCAGCATAAAATTGCAAAAAGCCAGTCATTGCTGCAAAGTACTGAGTAATGTAACTAACAAGGTTTCCCTATCCTATTTGCAGTAGTACAGACTGGGATACTCCTATTTTCTCTAGACTGCTATAAAAGTTTTATTTATTTTTTCTTTCAGTTTCTCTCCCTCCCTCACTCTGTCTTTCTCCCCCTCTCTGTGTGAGCTCAGCATCAAACCCAGTGCCTCACCCATGCTAGGCAAGTGCTTTACCACCAGGATTTACCCCAGGCCTCAGTTACTTTTCTCTACAGCATTTTTGGTGCACATCAGTACGTGAGCTGAATGTATGCTAGACCTTGTTATTTTAAAAACTATCCTGCTGTCCCTTCAACCATCCAGTTGTGCCTTATTTTCTAGAAATTTACTCACCTGGCTAAATGATGTATTCACAGAACAATTTGAAACTAGACCTTCTGCAAGCCAACTCCTATAAACTGTCATCAGTATTAGCAGAACTTGAGCAAAGACCTAAACCCAGCCATCCCTGTAGTACCTCCATCTTCAAGTGGAAAGAAAAGGTAAAACTAAAGAGATCGATTATAATTTTTTGATTGGGCTCTCTATGTGGTGGGCTTAAATTAGCATCAAAGCGAAAAAGTTGTGATGAATTACATGTGCCATATGTCCCAAACTTTTTTGCAAAATTTTAAGATAAATTTATTTTTATTTCTCCTGAGTACAATAAGCTAAATACAATTGAATACATTCCTTGTAGGTTAAGTTACTATGAAGAATGAAAAATATTTTGTATTTCTTCTCCCTCCTCATACCTTTACTTTAGCCTTGAAATGTGTTTTTATAGTAAAATTTCTATTAAATTGAAATTTTAGTATTCATATAGACTTAAATTGTGAGGGTTTTTTTACATGCATTTTTCTCATTTTAACATAGCTTGTGATGGGTGCTTAGTGCATAGCTTCATATACTATATGATGCGGATAATGTATAAGTTGAATTTAAAAAACTCACACCCATGTACTTTTCCACAGTTGCACTTCTCAGGAATTGGTAATGAACTCATCGATGTACATGGGTAGCTATTGCTTGTAGCTGTTTTCTGTTAGAAAAGGGAGGTGTGATAAAGGGATGGTATTCTTTCTAAGAGAGTCTAGTGCTATAAAATGTTCTCAGTCATTCAGACAGAGTTGCAATAATTTCACTTCATTAAAATCCATTGAAGTTGAATTTGTAGAAGTAATGCTACAAATGCTATTATATGGTCTAGATAAACAGGTCAAAATTGGAAATTCAGACTATAAAATACAGTAATTGTCTAATTCTGAAAATACTAAGCCTTCTGAAACAAGAAAACTTAAACATAGTAGAGCTTAGGAATGTATTGAATAATTTATATATACATTCCTCACCCCAATTTAGAAAACAAATTCCTGAGTCATTTTCATGAGTACATTTGATAATAGAGTTGTTTAAAATGACTTTTTTTGAACTATTTGAACAGGAGCATACTCATACTTATGTGAAAATATCTCGACCTTTTTTGGCAAAAAGATTAGAGAATGTCGTGAGCAGGACTTCTGGTGAACAGCGTAATTCAGGCCTCTCATCTTCAGGTAATCTAAAGCCCACAGAAATCTTGGACCTATTTACCTCTTGGTAAAGCACATTGCTGCATTTAAATATTATTTTCAGAACCATATTGATCTATATTTGCTCAAAGAAATCTATTTTTCAATTAATTCATTAGAATCTGCAGCTTATGAACAGATTTAACAAAAGAGGTGGGGGGAGTCAAGAAGAGTGGGGGCTGGGGCAAGCATTTATACCATGAGGAGTCACTGCAGATACCAAGTCTGCAGTCTGCTATCCACACAGTCAAATCATCCTACCCATTTTGAGGAGCTTGGTAACTCTGTCTCCATAGCATCTTCTAAACTTCCATAGAAATCCTGTCTTCTCTGCAAGAAACAGTGATCCAGGAGGTTTGCAGGGACACTCATACACTTGGAACACATGATTTATGCACCCCTTTATTCAGTCATCTGACTTGGCCACTGTCCAGCCACACCCCACTGCTCTTCACCTTTTGACAGGCACTCACTCACGGAGGTCTTTACTCCTCATTGTTCAACTATCTACTATAATTGTTTGAGGAACAGTTCCATTATCACCAAGGGATGATGATAAGAATCACATGCTCCAAATAGCCAGTCTTGCGTGACTGGCAGAACTGATGTGCATTCCCAAACATGCATTCAACTTCCACACAGATTATCTAATGATGTTAACTAAACTCGTATGAAAAACAAGTAATTTAAAATTGTCATCCTTACTCTTATGATGACAATAGCTTTTTTCCTCTAAACTATTTCCCATATTAGAATATGTTTTTTGTTTATATAGTATACATATTCTATATACAAAGTAGGAGGCTTCTTTATATATACACTGAATATATACTTATAATATATTCATAGATACTTATTGAATCAAGGGATGACTATTTGGTAGAATTATAAACTTTTGAGAAAATTTCATTATATATAAACTCTGCATCACACTGTTAAATAACCAGAGCTTCTGATCATTCATTTTGCCTACTAACACAGCATGGTAATTACAACTTAATCCAATTTTTAGCCTCTGGCGTGGCCCGGCTCAGCAACAGTCTTTGCAAGGCCTTGTATTCTTTTCAAGCCAGGCAAGATGATGAATTGAATTTGGAAAAAGGTAAGAATCATTTTCAGATATTTTAATTGCCTTCCCATGCTGAAATCCTTGACATGCATGAAGTCCTGTCTTAGCACAGCAGTCTTAACCACCAATGTCAAGACAGTTGAGGTTTATAATCACCCTTCTGAGAAGATAAAGAAAGGCACCTGAAAAACTGAAGCTCAAATAATGATGATGGCTAAGATTTATTTTCTTCTTACAATCCAGACCTTGTTGAAAGCATATTGTTCAATTTAACATTCATAAAAATTCTTAAAGGCAGGGATTGTATTTATTTCTATTTTATAGCTGATAAGACTGAGGCATAAAAAGGGTAAGTACTTTGGCTAAAGTTACAGGCAGTGGCAGCACAAGATTTGAGCTGACAAATTCAGTTGTGCCCTTAATCATAGTGCTACATGGGGGCAGAACAAGGGTAATGAGAGCCATTAGAGATGCAGCGCCACCTCTTTGTGCTTCCAACATGAGACCCACTGGTGACATCTGCTCATGAGCTAGTAGAATAGCATATTTTAAAGTCTAGGTTTAGAGCCCCAGTTTAATTTTATCCCATTTATTTCACAGGAAAATATTTCTGCCAATCTTATCAGACCCTCTTTTTTGTGTTATGATTTTCATAACAAGGAATGTTATGGATGATGTAAACCTCAACATTGTTAAACAAGAACAAGTCTCCAGCCTCAACTTTCCTTAGGTGTCCACGTATGGGTATTAAAGCTAAGGTGGAGATCTGGAAATGGAAGAATTCATGAGAAAAAGCTGTGTGATGGGAGAAGGCTTTATTACTCATGGTGTGGCTATGGCTTGATAGAAAATTGAGATGGATTTTGCAGCTAAACAACAGGGACACTATACATTTGCTATTATTTCCTTTTCAGTGTGTGTCAGAGTTCTTCAATTATTTTTCTTCTTTAAGAACAAGAACACATTTCCCTGGAATTCAGGGATCCTGAGTTTCACAGTAACTTCAGTTATTTCAGTTCTTAGTTATTTGCAAAGTCCACCTTTGCTCCATATTCTAAGTAGTTTCTTTCAATGAAACATGACAGTGGAGGCCTAGGGAAGCTGGCAATACAATTTCAAATTATTTGTTTGAATTCCTGTTAATAGATTTGTCAAACAATCTGCTGACCTGGGAGAACTCCTTAGAGGGCGAACTTAAGTTGGAAATGACCTCCTAGAAGAATAAAGAGTGATTCATGACTTTAAAAAGATAAAAGGGGTTTAACAGTCTTCTTCACCTTCCAATGAAAATTGCTGGGGAAAAGAGTGAAAAAAAATTGAAATGTGACTTCAGAAGGATGCTATAGAAGGACATCTTGGATGCTGAAAAAAACTCTTATTTTCATATCCAGGGAATGATCAGAGAGAAAGGACTCTCCCACAAGACAAAGGATAGCCAAAGGATATGGGGCACCAGGTTATACTTTAAGGTTATTAATATCTCAATGATGGTTTTAAAAGAAACCCTAGAGAACTGGGTGAGAGCTAGGAATTCCATTTATTTGAATCAATGCTTTAAAAAAGCATTGTCTTCAAATTGATGTTTTATTGATATTATCTAAATTGATAATGGGAAGTCATTTCTTTTGAATTTTGGACTGTGAAGCTAGGTGGAGTAGAGAGGAACTGTTTTGATCCTAAGCTGTCTTGATCGTCAGCTGAGACGTGTTTGTAGAAGTTAACATACCAAGCCACCATGGCCATCAACACATGAAACACATAAAGAACAACACTGAAAAAGAGTTTGCTGACAACCCTCTGTTATAGACAAAGTGAACCAGGCAGCCCGAAATCCAACTTGATACTCCTTTTTAAGGGGGGTGGGTACTAGAGATTGAACCCAGGGATGCTCTACCACTGAGTTATATCCCCAGCCCTTTTATTTTGAGACAGGGTCTCAATAAGTTGCCCAGGTTGGCCTGAAACTTGAAATCCTCCTGCCTCAGCTTCCCAAGTAGATGGGATGACAGGGGCATCATGCCCCAAAACTCTAATTTTGCTTTTAAGCAAACCATTTCATGGCATAACTCAGTTATTAATTATTTCAGTCTTTTGAGTATTCTTCGGGATTATGCCAGCTTCATACAAAGTTTTCTTCATCAGCTGTATCAAATGCAGAAAATGATGCTCCCAGTTAAACCTTTGTATGTAGGATTTCCTTAAAACTCCTACCAGTCAGGCTCTGGTATATGCTCAAGTTGCAGAGACCCATTTGTCTAACTAAAGGTGTATTTTCACAGGAGACATTGTGACTTTACATGAGAAGAAAGAAGAAGGATGGTGGTTTGGATCTTTAAATGGAAAAAAAGGCCATTTTCCTGCGGCTTATGTGGAAGAGCTACCTTCAAAGCCTGGGAACACAGCTACACAGGCATAAAACAAACACCTTAGCACATTGACTTACTTTGTAAACTCTGCAGTGTGGTGCACATAAAAATAAAGTGCTGTAATCTCTGTGAGGTTTTCTTCTTAAATGGGTGGTAGAGTCCTATCTGTAGGTCACTTCACTTTGCACTCACAGTTGTTTGCTAGAAACAGAATCAGATAAACGATGGATGGTGAAGGAGGCAAGAAAGAGACTCCATGGTTACTAGAGTTTATGAATTCAAAGAGACTCTAGAGAACTCCTGGCATAACGGGTGGTGGGGAGGTATTAGTTCAGGGTGGAGCCATGTGCCTGAAATCAGTTACCTGGTAGAATAGCAATTAAGATTTAGATGTCCTTTTCCTCTGGACTTGGATAGCAACAGGACACAACAAACCTACCAGGGGTAAAGAAAGGCCTGGGAAATAAGGAAAAACACAGATTAAGTCCAAGAAGAATAGTGATTGATAGGCAAGTAAGATACCAGCAAGATAGATCCAGTTTGGGGGACAGAATAGAGGATTAGGAACCCAGGTCAAAAGCCCATGGGATCAGAAGAGGGGTGGTCGTCCAGATCCGAGGCAGAATGGAGCTTCAACCTCAGACAATTTCCTGTACAGGGGCTTCCTGTTCAGTCCCTGCCCACACCAGCTGCTCATAGAGTTAGGGCAAATGCCAGCCAGACACGACCGGAGACCTGAGGACAAGAGCAAGGTGGATAGAAAAGGGTAAGGAGGCACAAGTATCTGAAATCCCATGCCTCCTTGCCTATTTGGAAACTAATTGGAAATAAGGAATTTTGTACTTCCCAAATAGGTCATTGTGGAAGCAGGTCCCTTGTGAAACAAACTTGAAATGCTACTGAGTCTCCAGTTTGAAAGGAAAATCTTGGAAACCAACACTTTCCATTAAAATGGAATAATATTTGTGCTACTTCCTCAAACACCCTGTAATGAAAGACTTGAGGATGAGAGAGGCTAGGCCCCCAAACTTATTCTGAAGGAAACAGTTTAGAATGGGGATGTTAAAGCAGCATCTTTCAGAAAACAGATTAAATCTGCCTGAGATCACACACTCCTTTGAATGGAAGGTGATGGTGTTGATGGAAATACCTGGACATGTTTACTTTTGTGCCACATAGAGTCTGTCCTTTAGGACTTCACTATAGGCATTAAATGAGCAATTAAAATCCAACTTGTTACTCTCCTCACCCCCCTTTTAACTTTTCTTTTTTAATTAGGTATATATGACAATAGAATGCATTTTGATTCATTGTACACAATTATAGCACAACTTTACATTTCTATGGCTGTACACGAGATGTAGTGTCGCATCATATGTGCAATCATACATGTACCTAGGGTAATGATGTCCATCTCATTCCACCATCTTTCCTACCCTCAGGCCCCCTCCCAACCCCTCCCTCTCCTTTGCCCCATCAAAGTTCTTCCATTTTTCCCATGCTCCCCACCCCATTATGGATCAGCATCCAATTATCAGAGAGAACATTTAACCTTTGTTTTTTCTGGGGATTAACTTACTTCACTTAGCATGATATTCTCCAACTCCATCCATTTACCTGAAAATGTGGTAATTTTATTCTCTTTTAATGCTGGGTAATATTCCAGTGTGTGTGTGTGTGTGCGCGCGCGTATATCACAATTTCTTTATCCATTCATCTATTGGAGAGTATCTAGGTTGCTTCCACAGTTTAGCTATTGTGAACTGAGCTGCTATAAACATTGTTGTTCTTGTGTCACTTTAGTATGCTGATTTTAAGTCCTTTGGGTATAGACCAAGGAGTGGGATAGCTGGGATGAATGGTGGTTCCATTCCAAGTTTTCTAAGGAATCTCCATACAGGTTTCCAGAACCACTGCACTAGTTTGCAGTCCCACTAGCAATAAATGAGTGTGCCTTTCCCCCTATATCCTTATACTTTTAAGAAGGAATTTCTAAAACTAAGTTTTATATATATATATGTGTGTGTGTGTGTGTGTGTGTGTGTGTGTATATATATATATATATATATATATTCTGGGTCATTACACTCTTATATAGTATATAACTAACACAATAGATATTTATAGATATTAGATCTCAAGGAACTCAAGTAAAATTTGTTATGAGACTTAACTTACAGTCAAGAACAGATCTGAAGTTTTAATGTCATTTAATGTGTATTAATGAAGGCTTTCTGCATGAAGAAAGTTGGCTGAATAATAGTGAACATTTGACTATGAAAAGAGATTTAGAATTTATATTTCCTTTTCATCTTACTTCCATTAAGCCCTGATGGATAAAACAGTGTGTAGCAATTGACTGCAGACTATACCAGACTATTCTGTAAAGAGAAAGTGATGTTAATGGTGGTTGGACCCTGAAGCCCTTTGGAAGTAATTTTCAAAAAGAGACATTTCTTTTTCTTCGCAAATCAGTTGTACTTCATGAAAACATAAATGTTTTTCTTGTTTTCGAATGTTGCTGCAAATTCTTTTACATTTGTGACATATACTTTGTAAGCCTCAAAGAAATACTATCGGGGCTGGGGTTGTAGCTCAGTGGTAGAGTGTGCTTAAGCAGGCACAAAGCCCTAGAATTGGTCCCCAGCTCCCAAACAACAAAACAGAGGTGAGGGGGAGAGACATTACAGTCTTAAACTAGATAAAATACAAATATATTTGGGTATAACACACTTGTAGAATACCTTTTTATTAAGGCAAGAATTTTCTGTTTGAACAGATGGGATGTCACACCTTAGATTTAGGATAAAATTGAGTGCATATTCAGTGAGAATTAATGATGTGCCCAAGTCTTCCATATAGAATAATTTTAATATTAATGCTTTTAAACTATTAATTAGGATTTAATAATTATACTCCATTAAGCAGTTTCATGTCAGAAAGTTTTTAGCACCATTAACAATCTGAATTATAGACCGTGGAAGCCAGAACCAAATTTTCACTGAACACAGAAAAGATGTTATTCTACTTTATCTCCTTGCTAATTTAGTAAAAGCTAATACATCCATCATTCTATCAACCAGAAAGATCTACTAATTTCATTTTTAAAAAATTTTCAATTACTCAAAATAATGAATATTCATGATTAAAAGGCATTTTAATCATGTAAAGTGCCTTATGATCCATCAAAAGGCAATATAATAGTCTTGGGTAAAGTAAATTTTATTGTACAATATTATAAGCAGATTAGCAATTTAAAGTATAGTTTATTTGCTCTCTCCTCCAAAATGAAAGCCCTTCCCCCAGTGCCAGCAACCTTGAGGGATAATCAGCCTGACTGGGAGCAAGGTAAGCACATTAGGATCAAGCCCATACATCCTATTGTCCTTTGCAGTATCATGTAGGAAGAAAGTATAACCCAGCGAGGGAAGATGAGCTTGGAGGTGTAGGGATGAGAAGGTGGGGTTGGATTTGCAGCAGTGTGGGGACATAGCGTGGAACAGGTATCTTTTGCAAAGAGAATGCACAGGTCAATAGCTGTCCATCCTCCAGTCCCACAAAAACCTGGGTTGATGACTAGTTGACGTCCCTTGAGACTTCTCAATGAGTCACAGAGGTCCTAAGGGTCAGGTACTGCCAGACATGGTGGTGCATGCTTGTAACCCCAGCAACTTGGGAGGCTGAGACAGGAGGATCACGTTTGAGGCCAGCCTTGGCAACTTAGTGAGACTCTGTCTCAAAATACAAAATAAAAAAATAAAAAGGGCTGGGGATATAGCTCAGTGGTAGGGTGGCCCTGGTTTCAAAACCCAATTCTGCCAGAAAAATAAAAACAAAAATTAGAGGGCAGCTACCCTAATAACTTATAACTCGTTTCTGAGATCTGCAGCTACTGTTATTTTATTGAGGCTATTTCCTAAGGATCTAGAAAAAAATATTCCCCTGCTTTCAAAAAAGTTTGCTCTTAAAAAAAACATTATACTTCTATAGAAGCATGAAAAATAAATTATGTAAGTTCAAATTTGTTTAGAATCTCTTATGGAGGGTTGTCAGCTGTGGAGTGTTGTGATCATTCCTTGGTCCTTAGAGACAATAAGGCAAGGCAGAGATATCATTTAGATCAAGGTTATTGCTAGGTAAGAAAAAGGCAAAAGAAAGTGAGATACACATCTGAGAGATGGGCAGGCAGATCAGTTAAGACACCAAAATGCACTAAAACAATAGGCCTTTTGTTTGGGTGGGGGATGGGAGCTTGCAGTGGTATAAAACCTTGGAGTGGCAGGTAGCCATGCCCTTTGGGGCCTGATGCCTTGTGTAGTTGCTGTCTGTTTGAAGGTCATATACCTGTACTTTTTGAAAACTGAGGACCTACGTCTGTGTATTTGCGTCATTAAGTGCTTTCTGGCCTAGTGATGCAAGCAGAATATCATATAGGAGTCAGCTGACCCTCAGGGCAATTTGACCCTCATCCTCCTTCTGGAATGTGGAGTAAGAATGGTATCTCTGGGTCAATGACTAGTCAGTGGCCCTTTTACAGTTGTTCCCCTGTCCTGTCTCCCCCTTCTCCCAGCTCATATACCTATGCTAACTTATTTCCTTAACAAATCTTAACTGTTAAGAACTTTGTGATGGCTGGGGCTGTAGCTCAGTGATACTCAGTGTAGTTGCCTGGCATGGGTGAGGCACTTTGGGGGTTCATTCCTCAGCACCACATAAAAACAAATGAATAAAGTAAAGGTTCAATTAAAATGAAAAAAGAAAAAAAGAACATTGTCTTTGCGTAAGGCAGTATAGTGCAGTCTAGGTAAAGCTCATGGACTCAGGTGCCAAACTCTTGAGTTTAAATCTCAAGTCAAACATTCATCAGCTGTGTGACTTGAAGTTTCTTAAACACAGTTCTTTGGACTCCTTATTTGCAGAACAAGGTTACTGATAGTATATACCTCACAGGTTGAGAGAATGCAAATGAGCAGATATGTGTAAAGGACTTGGAAAAGGGTTGGGCTGGGTTCATAGAAGGAGTAGACTTTCCTGTTGAGAAAAACAAGTCAAAAGAAATTGCCATGGCCCAAGGTGCTTTGCTTGGCATGACAATGTACTTTTCTTTATATAGTTTTGGGTCCCAGC